TAACTGCGACAACGTGCGGGCTGTAAAAATTTTAGTTAATGTGCCCCATTTCCTTTAGAGACAAAATTTTGAAATTTTTAGTTCTGAAATTTTTTATATCAATTTATATGCAATTTATATCAATTTATGCACTATAACATGATATGAATATAAAAAGTATGAAGAAGAAAAAAAAAGAATATAACGAAGGATAATTGGCAAAAAAAAGAAGACCAAAACTAGATCTTATAACTCGATCACATAACTTTGTTAAAATTTATTATTTTTGCTTTATAATACTTATGAAAATTCGGCTTAGAAAATATATTAAGTATTACACATATAATAAATATTGAAATATTTCACAGCACATGTCGGTTTTTATTTTGCAAAAAAGATTAAAAAAATGCAATGAATTATTTTAATGTTTTCTTTAGTCGTCATTACTTTTAATTTACTGAACTTTAAAACAAAACTCAAACTGTTATTTGAAAGAGAAAAATCCATAATTTAATTTTAAATAAAAACAAAAAATTGGTATTTTCATCAAAATCGGCTTAAGAAAGGTATTTGGGTACCACAAGTTCACACTTAACTTAGCTGGAACTACACACCGAATTTCTGAACTTGATATGCCAAAAGTTTTTGTACGTTAGTGAAGACTCATTATAAAATTGGAAATATATAAGTAAAGAATTGATTAACTTACGGTTTACTAAATGATCAAAGTAATGAATTGTTTTCGAAATCATTCACATAAAATTTTGAAGAAATAAAAATAAGGAATAAGCGAACAACGATATTCGAAAACTGGAGAAACAAATATTCAACTTCTAAAAAGAATAAATCTATAAAAACGTTATTAAGCCTTCAGGGGTTACGATCTAAACAAAAGCAATATTCTAAGAATAAAACAAATCTGTATCTATAGAGATATGAAAAATATATTTCAACTGGCTTCTATTAAATTATTATTTTATAGATCATAAAAACTTTGAAGAATATTTTATTCTACCTTGCACTTAAGGATTTAGTAAAACACAAGTTTAAAACCAAAAAAAATTTAAAAAATAAAATTAATTGAATGAAAAATAAATAAGTTGGTTAAACCTACTAATGTCTATTTTAGTCTTATATAAATAGTTTAGCTTGAGGCATGCAAAATACAAAAAAATGATTTTAAGATTAATTTAAACACAATTAAAAATTTCAAATCTTATTTAAACACAGAAAAAATAGTATACGACTTAGGTTCAAAATTTTTTCAGGAAAAAGTATTTTAAGATTTATTTTTTGGGTCACCGAGGAAGATAAATGAACAAAATTGCCTAGATGTAAAGCATCTTTCCCAGACAGCTTTTGATATGAAATAATAATGAGTCCATTAATACAACTCAGACTTTCTCTTTCTAGTATACAAAGAAGAAATGCTGTCAATATGCAAAAAATCAATATATGAAAACTGGAGAAACAAATATTTAATATTTGAAGTAAATGAATCTATAAATAGGTTAATAAGCCTTCAAGGGTTATGATCTACACAAAATAATAAAACAGATTTGCTGACTTTTGTTAAATTATTATTTTACATGTTATAAAAGTTTTGAAGAATTCATTTCAACTTGCATTAAAGTAATAGTAAAACACAAAATTAAAACTAAAAAAAAAATAAAGATATTTTTTTGCACTGAGCTAATATTGTGTAATTTTGTTTCATGTAAATAATTTAGCTCAAGGCATTCAAAAAAAAAGAAGGAAAAAAAACGATTTTAAGATTAATTTGAATAACGTAAGAAAAAAGTCAAATCTTAGTAAAACACAGAAAAAATAGTATACGACTTAGGATCAAAATTTGTTCCGGAAAAAGTATTTCCGGATTTATTTTTTGGGATACTGAGGAAGAGAAATGAACAAAATTGCCTAGAGGTAAGACATCAATCCCAAACAGCTTTTGATGTCAAATAATAATGAGTCCATTAAGACTGCTCAGACTTTCTTTTCCTAATATACAAAGAGGAAATGCTGCCTACGGCTAATAAATACTTAATCCCTTCTTCCTCGTTGCTTTAAAAAGAAGAATTGTATTGAGGTAAGACTTAACATTTCCAATTATTTCAGCTTTGCGTTTAAATTGTAAAAAAATTGAAGATAATTGCTTGGCAACGGGTAAATTCTGAAAGTGAAATATAAATATATAGTTCCAATGACTAAATTAGCTAGTCTGGAAGAGTATTCCCTGCGGAGATTCATCCCTTTATTCCCTTAATTGCTTTTAATTCAGGAAGTACTTGATATTGCGAATATATATATATATGTACTTAGTTTTTACTTTTTTTTCTAGTTTTGTAATAACTCATTTAAAATTGGAAATCCGTCAAACTTTTATTTAAAAATATTATATTTTAAATAAATGGCATCGCAAAATATTATTTGGTTTTAGAGCTAATTCCATGCAGAAAATATGTAAATTGGGAAAATGTATTTTGTTTTTCTAATATTTATAAGCTCCTTAATTATAACGGATTTATTTTATACCATATACAATGAATTCGGAACTTTTTTAAGATTAGATTTAGACTTTTCTCAAATAAGTCAACTTCCTATTTATTATTTTGAATAGATGTTTAGATTGTACATAAATATAACATTTAATTTCTATGTAAGATTTATTAACATGGCCTAATGTGTTTGATCTGTGATTATATATGTTTAATTATGTTAAGTTCTTCATTTTACATTAATTTAAACTTCATTAATAATCAAATAGACATATGAGTTTTAAATTAGTGATGCGGCTTTACTTCATTTCTCACAAAACTTAAAAATGTGTACAGTCGTCTGCACTTAATTGCATATCGGATAATCGAATAACTCGCTTATAAGAATAAAATGTAATGGAACCAAATCATTTTATGTGAAACTAAAGTTAAATTTCCTTGTATAAGTAAATATTTGTTGTTTCTAGTCCTAACTTTATTACATACAGAAGAGGTACTGGACTGAAAAAATCTGTTTATTTTTAAGAAGTGTTTCACCAGCTAGCATGAAATTTTCAGTTTAGAAAATGAGAATACAATTGGTTATCACTTCAATAGAGACTTAATGCTTATTTGTTGCTAAGAACAGGCCTTAGGAGTATAGTTTAAAAATTAAACTCTTGCTAGCAGTTATACGTTGGAGTGAATGAAATGGGTTTTACCCCTCTTTGACATACTTCACTGACCCATCATTTAGAATGGTCAGAGTGATTTGGTTCACAGTGAAGACTTACGGTCCCCTTCTGCTGTGCTATTAATTTTGATACGAAAAAGTTTCAAAAACCTAACACACTAGCCTACAGCGTGTCTTTCTCTAAAGTAGAATTATCATTGCTTACTCCAGTGAATACAAGATGAGTGTGAAGAAGAACGATTTAAAATAATCGAAAAATAAAGCTTTGGAATATATAAATTATAAAAATCCCAAGCAGAAATATTAAATTAATTTGGAATTTCTCTAATTTCGGGGAGGAGAAAAATAAAGGATAAAGTATTTGAAAGGAGTTATAAGAGTTTCAGTAAAAAAAAAGAATCGAATTTTGATAAATTTACAAATTAAACGGGTATAAAAACAGTCTTGAAATACGGTTTTTTTTTAAATTAACAAAATAATATTATAGTAATTGCATTATATTTTTTCTCATCACTGATTTATTTTTACCTAATTTTAAATAACATTTATATTTTACAAAACTAACACAGACAGTTCAAATTATAATTGTCAATTGATCATAAAATTGAGTTTATTTATAAAACAAAACACTATACTATGCATTAAATACCATTAAAAAGTAACATTTCGTAAAAATTAAGCGCTTAAAATTGCATAATGCACTCTCTTTTTAATCGAATAACCCGCTCAATTGAATAGTATTGGCTGGAGCCAATGGTATTCCTTTAAGTGGGATTGGCTGTATATACATACATTTGTTTAAAGATGTATTCTTTTCATTAATGGAACTTATTTTATTATTTCTACCTTTGTAGTTAAAACCTATGATCTAACAACTTGTTAGTAGCAATCAAGCTAGTCTTATAGTTTTAAAAAAATAAAGTTAATTATTTAATCGGAATCATACAATTAAACACAAGCATTCCTCAATTGACTTTATAGCAGCAATGTTGAAATACTTTCAACTGTAATCTAACTTTATCATTTTTCACTTTTTATTACTTAAACATATCTTACAATTGGAGCATTTTTGTACAGAATTTTGAGCCCTATTCTGCAAAAAAAATCTGGATCTTATTACGAAAAAGCACTTTGGGTGCATTTTGCTGTAATCGATTTACCAAATCCATTCTTATCGCAAAATATTATACCGTAATTTCAGTAGTAATATTTATTTAATTAGACTGATCCATGGTCATTATTGCACAAAATTAAGGTATATCATTATTTTTCCGTATCATGTTTTTTTCCGTGCTTTGCTAAAAATGGCTTTTAAAATAAAAAAAAAAATACCGGAGAGCCGGTATTTTTAACCGCAAATTTTTTCAGTATATGAGTCTAAGGAAACTTTTATGTTAGATCATTTATTGTAATTTTTATTTAAATTATTATAGAAGTTAATTAGTTTTTATAATTAAATATTTTTGTTTATAATTTAATATATATATAGATTTATTCAAAGTAAGTTAATAAATATAGAATCATATGTGTAAATCAGAACGTCTTGCGAAAACATATATTCAAAATTTATACAATACTCTTTTGAAAGAAACCATAAGTATAATCTGTAAATAATAATTTTTCGTAAAGACTATAAGTAAAAAGATACGTATTTTTCCGGAATTATTGAACTGCTTCGTTTAGGTGTTTGCATTTGGTGACAAACATAATTTTTTTTTGATAAAAGTACCAAATGAATATTTATTTTAAATAATTTTACTCGGGATTTAACCCACGTATTTTACATTTTTTGATTGTCATAATTTTCAGAAAGTGTTTTTATTTATTTTTATTTATTTACTTTTTTTCAGTTGTTATGCAGGTATATGAAATTCAACTATTTGATGAGTTTGTTTTAAGAGGAAATATTGCTGTTCTGCACTGTCCAGTCCCGAGCTACGTGAGTGATTATGTCAAAGTAGCATCATGGGAACGGATGGATGGATTTATTATAACACCGAATATAATAAGTGGTAAGCAATATTCATAAGCAACATTAAAAACAATTTACACCAAATACAGAAACTAAAGAAATTAAGGAGAAAAAAAAAACAACGGCTAAACCTTCAAATTGTTTTGAGAATTTTCTATGTGACAAATGCAATCGCTATTGCCACCACCGAAAACTACTTTGGAACAGTTATATGAAAAGGATTCTCGAGCATATAACACTAAATTTAATTTATGTGAGAAACATAATGTTATTAAAATCTAAATAAGATAAATTAAGAATCTCATACGAGTTAACTAATATATTTTTTTGTAGAAAACTGTACGAAACACTGTCTTGTTTGAAATTTTCCTATTATTTTTCTAAATAAAACAAAGTAGTAGCATCATTTTTCGAATATCACGTATTATTCTTTACGATTCAGATTAAAAATTTTCTTTTTCAAATGACACGTTTCTATCTATTTTTGCATCAAAATATCTGAATACTTCAAAATAATTTTTATAGGGAAGTATGGAATGCTGGATAATGGTGATCTTTATATAAAGGATTCAAGTGAACATGATAATACATATCAGTTTCGGTGTCAAGTTGAAAACTCCATAACAAAGGATAAACATGTTAGCCGAAATTACGCAAGAGTCATTGTTACAGGTAAATATCCTTTAGGTTTCATTCAAATTTTTGCACTCGTTTTTATTTATTGTGGAATAAATATTTTATGCTAATCCTCTGCTAGGGAGGAAATGTAATAATTTTAAATTACAGGACTTTATTATGAGAATTTCCCTTTTTATACATTACTAGTAGAATGTTAAAGAAATAAAGTTTCGAAATCTGGTGTGCAGGCTAAAGAGTCAGGATTTGTTTATTGATTAACTTACTTAGTAAATATTGTTTTGTTTTTTTCTTTATGATATCGAGATTCCAAAAAATTTCATCCCCTTAATTATTTTTATATGTCTTTTTTAACTTTTATGAGGATTTTATAACAGAAATATAATTTTATGGCACAGGGGTTAGGAAGCAGAGCAGCTATTATTGTTAAGGATCAAAATAGTATTGGTCCTGGAAACAGCTTAAGCTCTAGCATCAGATTGTAAACAGTTTGTTTGGGAGGAAGATGAAAGTGATGTGCAATTTTGATCATATTGCAGCAGTATATGCCATTGGACTTGACGTTGTGGAAGCTTATCCTTTCCCTTAAACAACAAGTAGATGTTTCGGAAGTGCTTAACTGTATACAAATGTTCTAGGAAGGGAAAAAAGATACATTTTAAGAGAATATATTGTGATGTAAATTAATTAATTAGATTCAAATTTTTATGTTTAAAATGGTAAGTGCAAAGTAGAATTTTATTTGAAGAAAAAATTCTAATTTTTGACCAAAGTAATTTGAGTATTTTATATATATTTTCATTGCAATTTAATTGTGAATTAATCAATGTCCATTAAATTTGCAAATTTCATAATTTTAAAGGAATACTTAAACTTTTTACCTCGTCAAGTTTTTCAGGTCAATATTTTTAATTTCCACTTTACAAGTTGTATTCTTACAACCTAATAATAGAAACCTCTGTATTGATCTCTAGCATCATTAAAAAAGTTTAAGATTTATCAGAGGAGGCCGTAGATAAATATTCCGTTTTAATAATTTTTGAGCGTGAAGCAAATATTAATATATCGGCGCCCCTCAACCATGCCACATACTTTTTTGCTACATCAGTAAATATTGAACAGTATTTTTCATTACTTTGCTGAAATCATAACTTTAATTAATCAATGATAGTTAAATTTCGTCAAAAATTCATAATGTTTTGTAAATTTATGACGGTACTTGATGTACTGTCACCCTTAAAACTTTGATTATGCTGTGATCAATAAATTAACTTTGGTAACTGAGTCACCCAGGTTCAACAAAGGAATTACTTGAAACATTTAACATTTACAACCAATTTTATTAAAGCTCAAATTTTCAAACAAAAACACACTCCAAACATTTCCAAATGCTATCAAGTCGATATCAAATATTTTCAAATTTTACGTTACTTCAAGTTTAAAATTTATCAACGCAAAATTATCTTTTCAATAAAATGCAATTTGAAAATTGAAGGCTTTATATTCTATTACTCCAAATCCAGAAAAAACAATTAAGATTAAAATATACACTTATCTTAAAATCTACTAAAATCAATTAAAAATATAGATCACAATATTCTCTGAACCCTGTAAACACGATTACAAATAAAAAGCTTACCTTAAAATATATATCCTAAAATATAGTAGAAACAATGAAAAGTCAGGATAAATTATTCTGTTGTTGTTGTTCTTTATCCTCTAAATATCTGACGAAGTCAGACAAGATCCAGTAGGTTGTTGACCCTCAAAAAGTTGATGACAAGAAGTGGAGTAGCATATAAGTCCTCCTAGGAAAGGCCCAAGCAGTCAAGGATATGTTCGGCAGAGGCCTGCTGGACTTCCCATTTGGAGCAGACTGCATAAGTCTTTCTTCCTTCAAAGTACAAGAGACTATTCGCGTGTCCACTTGCCAGTCTGGAAATAGCTGTTTGAGATGCTCTATCACCTATATGAACAAGTGAAGAGCCCGGTTCCTTGGCCGCATACCCATGATGAGAGGGGGGGATCCTCCACTTTTTTGATAGATGACTTTTGATTTCGGATTGATACTCTGAGTAGGTAAGGGCAGATGACGAAGATGTTTAATGACTACTGCCCTTCTTGGCCAAGCGATCCGCTTGCTCATTTCCAAAGATGTCAACGTGGGATGGTATCCACTGAAGATGAACGTCGTGGTGCTTTGAAATAAGTTGAAGTTTAAGAGGGAGGGAGATGCTTGTTTTGTCTCCAACTTTAGTCCAATTGTGTAGGTGTTGAAGGGAGCTGCGACTGTCCGACAAGATCCAAAGACCTCCAAAGTCACTCTCGTTGATTATAGCATCGATGTCCTGTTCAATTGCGATTAATTCACTTCGAAAGACTGAAGTGAAATCAGGATTAAGGAGACAGATGGAGTAATTTTGCCCAGATATTTCAATGAAGACGCCGTTACCAGCAAGGTCTCCTAGTCTACTACCGTCTGTGTAAATTCTTACGGCGTCACTGGGAATCTCGCCTAAAATTTCCAAAGCTAGCTGCCTAAGTTCAGCTGGAATATGATCTTTCTTTGTGACCGGAGCAGAAAAGCCGAAGTGGAAGTGGACTCGGGAGATTCCCTCTGAAGGATTCAGACAAGGTTTTAAGGGACCAAATCCCTGGAACGCCCACTGTTAATGCCCACAGACTCGTGGATCAGGTCAACATTCCATTCTCTAATAGACAGCACTCCAACACTTTACACTTCCTTAGGCTTCCTTATAGTAAGGCAGTTAGCACTTGTGAGACAACAGACTTTCATCATTGGGACGCTCTGGATAGGCAAACAGATTCAAACATAGCGGCTCCGGAACTCAGCTCATCAAACCTTGCTCAAAACTTCCGCTCTTCCCCTCAGGGGCTCCGGGCTAGTCCATTCTTTTCAGCGACTCCGGCTTTAATTCCTCATCCTCTCAGCGGTTCCGTCTTAGTCCATCATCCCTCAGCCATTCTTCACCACCTTTTTATTCTCATGTCAGCAAGGTGAATGAATCTCGGACTGATCCGTTTTCATCCCACGAGCAACAGCGCAACCAGTGAACGTCACAACAACAAAAATTTTCCATTATAAAAACAGTCACAAATTAAATAATACATTATAAAAGTGATAAGACAATACTAATTAAATATAAATAAACTTAAATACACATAATTCAACTAAAAAATCCCAGTTTAAAAGGATAATTAAAATTTCTTATAAATATCACTACTGTGATTGAATTTCAAATTTATGATGGTGGTGCCACCTGGAGGCAAATTATGTTATACACCATAAACACTCACAAGAATTCGAAAATAAGCAGAGCTAAGCAGTGCAGCCATCTATTGATGAAATAAGCGAACTATTTCCGAAGAAAAAATAACCCATCTTTAAAAGTATTAAAAAAAATACAATAAATTTCTATTTATTACATTGACCCGGCAAATTTCCGAAATCAATATTTTTGATTTTCTACTTACGAGTTATAAATTTATAATAATATATAATAATATAAAAAAATTGTAAAATACGAGTTATAAATATACGCTTAAATTATATGTTTTTTAACCATGTCTACGCTTCATTTTTTGTTACATCTATAAAAACTGAATTATACTTTATAAAAAAAAAAAAAAAACATTTCAGAACCCCACCATAATGAAGCCCCTAGGATAATAAGAAGATTCAACCGAGTTTCTTCAAGAGTAGGACAAAGAGTTACTCTACCATGCATTTCTCAAGGACATCCGGTCCCGAATCACAGATGGAGAAAGCAATTTGGTGATGAACTTACATTGACTGGACTAGGACCTCTCGTAAGACAGGAAAATGGAATTCTAATTTTTGAAAAAATAAAATCTTCCCATGCTGGAAAATATGTGTGCTATGTAAGCAATACGATGGGTGAAGATAAAATGGAAACTGAATTAATAGTTGAAGGTAAGTAGTTTTATACACTAAGTCGAGTGCTATTGAAACGTAATGCATAAATAAAGTAGAGTAAGTACTTCTAGTTTAATAAAAAGGTTTTTATCAAAATAGTAATTATTCAATATGGTACTAAACTAAATTTAATTTACTTTAAACTATTTTATACCAAGACATATCAAGAGAATTTTAATATTAAGAAAATATTTTTAAAAAGGAATTGGACTTCGATTTATGGAAGTGTATCATTTGGTATCATATTCATTTTTGATGCTTATACTGCGTATCATTGTCTAGAAAACAAGCTTTAAGACCTTATTTTTAAAAACTAATCATTTTTAAGTTAGTTTTAAACCTTACTAGTTAGTACTAGTCATTTTTAAATCTTCTGGTTTAGTTTTTTAATAGCAAGCTTCCCTTCATTGGAGAAGGGAGGAGGATTTTCCGCTTCTCAAATAGTTACTGAATCCATTTGGTTGATCCAGAAATCGACAGTATCATTTCTGCCTTCATGTAAGCCTTGAAAGTCGTCCTTCCACATATTAGTTACCTCATTGGATCCACTTACTAACTCTCCTTTCTTGTTTCTACTGGTGACAAATTTTTTTCTTTTCTTTTCTTTTGTTTTTAACCAAATATCACTTGACTTTTTTACAAGCTGTGACACAACAAGGGCTTCTATTAAAAAATGCTTAAAGAAAACAAAAAAACAAAAGGAAACTTAAGGAATGTTTTCTTCTGTTTGTCACTAATTGTTTTATGAAAGGAATAAAATGAAACATTTGCTTGTTTTGAAAACAATTTTGTTTGAGATAAGAAGAATTCTTGTAATTTGAGTGACATATACGTCACGCTACGTCAACATATATATTTGAAGAAAGTTTCTTAAGATAAAATAAAACAAAATAAGTTATTACTTCAAACGATAGCTGGAAGGATTACTATAACAGAAGGAATCCAAAATACATTAACGGAAACTATATCGAACCTGCTTCTTTCTAAATTCATCCAAAAAATTCTGTTTTCCATCGGGTAATTTATGTACTTCCACTTTTATTTTCAGGATTATAGTATATAGACTTTTATAATATATAGTCTTAGTCTGGTTTGCTGCTTGTTCCGTTTCTTTACCTCTTTTTGGAACAGTCTTGGTTGCTATATATATATCAAACTTTCTGGAAATTAAATATTTTTAAACTAACTCTTTGTATTAAGAAGTTTTAATTTTTGCCTCAAGATATCAGCAGCATGCTCTACTCATCTAACTCATTTCTATTTAATTTCATTTCTAGCATTTGTCATTACGTTCACGAAATGTTTAGCTTTTAAAAGCAAGAAAGAAAAGTTGGATCTTCTTGCAAAGACAATCACTGAAATTGTAAAATCGTGTTAAATGAGAAACTAAGTTTCGCCAGCTCTTTCCCAATATACTTCTTTTTCCTCTTCAAAAAGACAAACAGAATTCTAGAGTTCTTCTACGAAAGAATCAACAAAAAACTACCCGTGACTCAAGGTCTTTTTCTGATAAGACATCCTTGACTTTGAAGACAGTTTATTTCCTACGAAGAGTCTTCTGATAGGCCGAATCTTTCTTTTTTTTCCTGACAGTAGTTTATTGTTTTTTCCCATCTTTTAGCCATTCTGTAGATTGTTTTGACTTATCTTACTTAAGCGAAGATACAATCATAACTTATGATGTAGGATCTTTTTTAATACCGAAAAATTGTGGTCCTTTTCGTTGTATAAGTAGGCTGATTTCTGGTAAGGATTTAGTAACTACGGCAATGCTTTCTAGTTCTGATACTTCTGTCTGTTTATACTCCCTGCTTCTTTCCACTAGTGGGTATAATAATAAGAAAGTGAATGCTAAGTTGTGCATAAAAGTATTTTTATAATGTGTATTAAAAAAATTGTTTAGTCGTATGGTGGAAAATTACCTATGTACTCAATAAATGATTTTTATTCTGGTTAGTTAAAGAATATGATATAATCGTATAATGGGTATAATCGTAAGAAGAAAAATACTTAAGTATTTATGAAATAATTTTTATTAGGGTTATTTTTAAATAATATGCATTTAGTTTAATTAGGCAGAAAATCCCAATACATTAGTTTAATCATACAGAATCATGAAAAAATGTGATATTTCCCATGGAATAAACAGGCTGATTTCCACTTCTGATTTTCAAATAATTGAAATCATTTTCTATGCAACTCCTTGTTCTCATTGTAGGTTTCTTCCACTTTTGGCTATAATTATATGGAGATAAATAATCAGCTATGAATAGAAGGACTTTTATAATGCTTAATTAAAAAAAATATGCAATTTTAACCTATTTGTTTGGCATCATAATGTTTTCTTTAATAAAGAAATAATGTGTTCACTTCCATTGTATAACTAGATGATCTCCAGCAAATATTTACAAATATTTGTTAATGTTTTAAGAACTTGATAAAAATTAATAAGTATATTTTTATTGATTTATGTCATTTTTGTTCGAAAGTTGACTCTATAGAAGAGCAGCTTTATTTCTGTTAACTTTATTTTTCTTTTGCCTTCTCACTGGTTTTTGAAGTATTTAATTTCAACAAATACGCTTCTAATGAGAATAAGCATATTACAAAGAAATATTTTCGCAAATATAAACAATAACGTTTATCTCGTCCTTTTGGTAATCTCGATATTTTTTCTTAACCGTTAAATTTATACGTTTGCCTGAAGCTTTCAAAAAAACAATTACTGATTAAAACTTAAAATTAAGTTGTTCGGTATTATTGCAGCTTTGTTTTTTTTATGACATATCAATCGATTTCGATATTGATTAATTCTAAATAATTTATTTTATTGGCAAGCTAATCAACTTTTTCTAAATTCCAAATGCAAATATAAAAAATAAAAAAAAACTAAGATTATTGTTTCAGGGAAAGAATCATTTGAGTCAATATTTAAAGCTTTAATCAAATATGCCTTGTGCGTTTTTTAGTTTTAAGATGATAGTTTAAAAAAGCGTCTAATAAATGCAAAAATTATTCTTTTATTTCGAAATTTCAAAATGAATCTTAATAATCTTAATCTCTTTTTTATTTTTAAAAGGAAGGAAAAGAATCACTTCACGTACTTGCATACTAATTCCACAAATATAAAGAGAAAAAAACGACATAAATTTTTTAAAAAAATGGCTGGAAAATAATTAAATGAAGCATTTTTTTCTTATTGTCTTTTCTAATTATCCATTCATTTGCTCTAAGAAAAGTAAAATCAGTGGATTCTACATAAGTATTATTAAAAAAAAATGACGCTGAATTGTAAAAAATTGCAAAGTCAAAAGCCCTTCCAAATCCTTATTTTTCTCGACAGCTTACTGGTAAACTTCCTACTAGCAATAAGCTACGCAAAAGAAAGGCTTTTTTTTTCCTGTCAGCCAATTTGACGTTCTCATTATGAAATGGCCTTAGGATGCAGAACTCTTTCTTACTCGAAGAGGAGACAAATTCCTTCAGGAAATACGAGTTTACTGTTTCCCATTTTTTATACTTAAAATGATCAATGTTCTACTTCATTTCTGATAAAAAGTAAAACCACAAAAAAGTAATATTAGGCTCGATGTTGTTTTCGGTAGGTAAGACTTTATATGCTAAGTTTTGATGTATTAAAATATTGTTTGGTTTAGAAATATGTCAGTTTTATTTTAAGTGGAATGAAAATGAAAAAAAAAACATTTAACTATAATAAATTTATAATTATAGAAATTGTGTTTGATAAATATAAATAACATGTAACGTGGTAAAATTTCACATGAATGAAATAAATAATCATTGCTAATTTAATAAGGAATAGTTAATAATAAATAAAACTGTTAGTTGAAAGGAGTTCTAATTTTTGATAATCAAATATTGGTTATGATCGACTTTCTTGAAATTGGTCTAATCATTTTTTTTTATGACTGGTAATATCAGTTTCGGCAAAAACTTGATTTAGACTCAAACAAAGTAAAATATTACAGTGGATAACACTTTAAACACCATACTTAGGTTTGCAGGGAAAAAGAGAAACAGATATTATAAACAGCTTACATGTGTATTCAACGATGTGATAAGAATAAAATAAGAAATAGAAAACACTAATGAAAGAATAAAGTAAGAATAAGAAAGCACTGCTTGATTAATGTGTCTGATGAGATAGGTTGCAAAAATATGATTCAAGAAATATTTTGATCCACTTCCCACTTCAAAGTTTTTAATATTTAAGTCTTGTTGATAACTAATTTTCCTAAAACTTATCTAATCAGGGTTTTTCTTTTTTTAAAAATAACCTGTCTGAAAAAAAAATCAGCTTCACAAAATCTTTATTAATTCACAAAAAAAAATATTATCATGATTAATACAATAAACAACATACTTATGACTGCAGAGCAAAAGAGAAGCAGATTTTGTAAGCAGTTTACTTGTGAATTCATCAACGTGAAAAAAAATTATGAAAAGAAAGCACGCATTCATTCACTGAACTTATAGAGTATTAGTCTAATAATCATAGCTAAAGATTGATAAATTTGGATTACCAGAATTACGGGGAGATTACGCGCGATCCATCATCCGTGAATGAAAAACAATTGCGAATAATTTAAGAATTGTGCGGTAAAACCTTATAAGACTAGCTTTCATAACCAACAAACCAATGTGTGTCAAATAATTGAACTTAATTTCAGAGAACGACTTTGACCAAAGCCACTATGAGGGCTGTTTGATCTCTAACATAACGATTTGCACTTTTCTTTTGAACAAATACTATTCTCATGCACAAATTTAACAATGGAATTTTTGAAAAAAATAAACATTTAAAATGCAGTTATCCAGTTTTTATTTTAATACAAGTGCTTGAATGTGTACGTGCGTAAAATAATACTTTTTACCGTACTCTCTTAAAGATTCTGAATGAAATTACAGTGTAAAGTACCGGAAGTTTGAGTGCATCCTTAATAGAATACGAATCAAATTACAGTGTAAAGTACCGGAAGTTTGAGTGCATCCTCAATAGAATACAGTTTACCTCAAAATCCGTTTTACAGTAAAACGTTATACAGTAATTTTTACAGGCATTTTTTACTGTGGATAGGTTTTTTCAGGCCATAAATAAGATTCTATGTATAGTTCATTATATTACGCACGTATTGGTCAATGAATGCCCTTTCATTAAACAAATAAATTTTTTAATTAATTTTTCATTAATGTATTTGCAGAAGATATAACAGCAACAATTTTTCCAAAAATTGCAAGAACTGACATCGGTAAAAATGCAACTTTTAACTGCTCAATAATAGGAGGACCAGTGGACTCAGTGATATGGAAAAAAGATATGAAATTCGTCTCTTCGAATATTCGAATTTCCTACCCAACTCCAACTATACTCCATCTCACTAGAGCAGTGAGACAAGATGCTGGGATGTATCAATGTTTTGCCACTAGAGACGTGTTTGGAAATCAAGCAAGCGCTCAGCTGATTATTGGAGGTAAATATCAACGTAAGGAATGTATATCAATTTAAAGGATAAGTATGAAAAGCAGAATATTGGTTTAAATAAAAATGTATATGATAAGGTCGAGACGTAGCTTTGGTTAATCCTTAATAAAGCCGACACTGTAAAAATAGGCAGAAGAAATTACTGTATAAAGTAACGCTTTTCGGGTACATTTTTTATGTAAGTACCGTAAGGTTTACAGTAATATTTAAATAATTAGAGTCATTAAGTGATTTTACGGAAGTTATTCTTGTAGAAATTACGGTATATCAGTTTCGTTGTTTCATAACATGTACCGGTAAAAAATAATTTTACGGTACTTTTTACTCTAATTTGATGGGAATTTCTTTCACAGTGTACGTAGTTAGCTTAAATGAGTCACTCCGTATCATAGTACTGTTTCTTTTCAAGTATGACGTGGAAAGACGGGTGATAAAATGAAGGACACGTATATTTACCATGCTCTTGGTACATTCTGCAAATATTCAATGCAAGTACCCTTGGTCATCAGTCACTTTTCACAATTGGAAACTATCCGTCCATAAATTCAATATCATGTTTCTATCAATTTTCATTACATCAGTTGTGGTGTGCTCTTGCATTGCTGTTGGGACTACAGGAACATAAACTTGTAAATAAAAAAATCTATGTACCCAACTATGCCAGATGGAAAAGCAAAGATTATGCAGATCCAGTGCCAACAACATTGTAGGAACACATTGCTGTTGCTGGGGCAAAATTTGGTAGAAACTTGCGGCTGAATGGTTGAAGGGAACTGATTTCCTAATGGAATGTGTAAGCGGTCCATACAACTACCCATGTATGGACCAATAATCTATACAGTGCACATTTGTGACATTTGCCATAAACTTAATAAATATATCTATTTTTGATACGACCCGTCCTTAAACGTCATATACTTCAAATAAACAGAGTTTGTAACTGGTTGAATAATTTTGAACTACTCTGTTTCTTTTTTTTTTTTTTTTTTTTNTTTTTTTTTTTTTTTTTTTTTTTTTTTTTTTTTTTTTTTTTTTAATATACCTGTAAAATGTATACTTAATACATCAAGAGTTAAAAGGAAACTAGAAGCGTCTTTAAAATATTATGAATCATTTTAAAAATCAATCAAATTAACGAACAGATTTCAGTCGTCAAGAATCGGTTCAATATCATTGTTCAAATAGTGTTCGTCGAAACTAATTTCATTTGATGATTTTTTGCATCTTTTGCTCTGATTGATATTAATAATGATTTTCATATTGTGCTGACCTTTATTAAGGCACTAAATAACAGTTTCCGATCTAAAATGTCTCGGGTTTTAAAATGTCTTTCAAGGCGAGAAATCTAAAATTAAGTATTAATGTCAGCATCTTCTATACATCCTGCTTACATACTTTACTAATCGCATTTTTATTTAAAAACAACTGTATCAGAAGTTATGTCATTAATTTTAAACATTTCAATTACGAGTTTAATAAAAAAAATCTACTAATTATTTAGATTAACCATCACATAATATAAATGAAAATAAATCAATGTAAAGAAGCATAACAAACATACAACGTACTATAATGAAAAGTTTTTTTCAGTATCTATTCTGTGTTTATACACTGAAGAATATGTTTAAAGTAAATAATTTTTTATGTAGATAAGGAGTACCTCATATTGATTTTTTGACCATAATTATAAGATTCAAAGTATCTGAGTGAATAATTAAGTGCTTTTAAAAATTGAAAAATATTTTTTCTACAATTTTAAAGTCTTAAAGTAGGCTTTTAAAATTTCGCATAAAAATACAAATTTATTTTAAATGTACTTGTAGCATAGGAACGTTTATTATATTACCTTAATATGCATAGAAATTGTTAAGCATAGGTATGTCAGTTGATTAAACAATTTTTGAATGATCACTGTAAGATACACTGCGAAATCTTCATTTATTTTATAAAAGTATTTATTGGAAATATATGCCTCTAGTATACATATGCGTTTTCCTGTTTAGATGTTGCACCTAAATTCAAAATGACATTCCCCGAGAAAATAGTTCGATCTGGTAGTTTTGTGTCCTTGATGTGTGTCGCAACGGGTAATCCAGTTCCTCAAGTTAAATGGTCCATGGACAATATATGGCCTCTTTCTACTCGTCCTGGAGTTTTGGTCAGCACTTACTTAAGCAACCATGGAGAGGTTTTTAGCTATGTCAACATTACTTCTCTAGACATAACTGACAGCGGCCTCTACTCCTGTGAAGCTCTTAATGATGCCGGTAGGACAGTCCATTCTAGAAGACTAAATGTTTTTGGTAGCCTCTTCATCCGACCTCTCAATAATTTAAGTGCTCTCTCGGGAGAAGAATTTTCAGTACTCTGTCCATTTGGAGGTTACCCATTTGATAGTATCATCTGGAAGAAGGGTAAGCAAGTATTAATTATAATTATGAATAATCGATGCAGCATATATATTGTGCAGCAATTCTGTCTCAATTGTACAAGAATTAATAAACATCAACAGTTTCATTCATAAAAAGTGTTTAATTTTATTTATTTAAATATTTTTACTCTTTAAGTATTTAAAAGTGAAATTTCGTTTTCTAATTTACTGAAATTTTGTTCATACACTGAAAAGAGTGTAAAATTAGTGTGAAATCATTGTACACAAAATTTACTTGTAAAGGAGAATTGATTCATGCTTCCTGGAAGAGTGTATTAGAAAGCTTAATTCGAAATTAATCTAGTGTTGTAAATGGAAGATTAATTATAGGTTCCATAAGAGATCCATTTAAGCACATAAGTCGGATTAATTAGGCAAATAAGATCTAACTTAAAGGAGTGTTACTTAGGTCGACAAAGTTTATTCTTGCATGAGAATTCTATTTTATAAAACCTAATTGTTTTCAATTTAAAGTGCAATTTTAAGGGGAAACTGAGAATATAACAAATTCTGGCTGTGTTGCTGAAACTTTATGTAAAATACATTATTTTGTTTTTAAATTTTTATTTAAATGGAATTTATCTACTCTATTTTTAATTTACCAAGTTTGCAATTTAAAATATTAGTTTTTTTTATTTATTTACTTTATTTATGAATAGATTTCATTTTATGATATTTTCCAAAACCAGTGCAGGATGGATCAAGCATTAATATATATTATTTCATTTGAATCAATATTAATAGCATGAAAACGCTGATTGTTTATTAGGACAAAAAAAAAACTTTTTCATTTCCATGCAGGAAGCATAAACATTTTATGAATAATATTAAACTTCTAATGAAAGAAAATCTAAATGTAGAAAGCAAATTTTTGTTTTTTTATTGCGTATTAAAATTGCAATAGAAAGGATCCGAATTTAATTTTTTAGACTTCAAAAAGATATATTTATGTATACTATATATGACAATATTGGATCAATTTGAACAGAATTTTTCTTTTGTTATTAGAAGGCAGACTATTGCCTGTGAACCAAAGACAACAAGTGTTTCCAAATGGAACTTTAAAAATATCAGAAATGCAGCCCGGTACAGATGATGGTATCTACAGTTGTGAAGTTTTATATAATCAAGGTATACCTGCCATAAGAACGTTTTCCATCGTTATACGAAGTGAGTTTCTCTGCTTAATCATCTCTGTTAGTTTACTGCTTTTATAATGGTAATATTTTCTGGTGATATTTTTTGAAAATGAATAGAAGGACTCATTATCTGATTTAAATTGAATTTATTTTAATTATAAGAATTAAAAAGACAATGTAATATACAAACAGGTACATTCTTTTCGAAATTTTCGTAAATTCATAAGACAATAAATTAATTTTAAATAATTAAAATAAATTCTTCGAAATTTTTTTTTCAAAATTTATCTTGAAAACCTTACCAATTTAATGTTCGTTTCTTAAAGCTAGAGTATTTTCTTCTAATTTTGGGAAAGGCCGGCTTATACTAAATGAAAAAGTTGTGTTAGGTTTTCCTTTATTTTGAAATTTTGAAAAAAAAATTGAGCTTTCTCCACTTTTAGTTTGGTTCTATTTTCTTCAAAGCCGGTGCATGCAAATTTTTAGATCTAAAAAGTCAATAAAAATTTTTTGGTCAGAGCCGACTTCAAAAGAAAATATCTAACATAAAGGTCATTTTTGGGCATTTCTACGATGAGTAATAAAAATTAATAAAATGATTTATGATAAATAGCGGAAGTTTTTGCGAATTTCACAGTTTTTTTTCTTGGAGAGTAAATTTTAATTTTGTATTGAGATACATTTTCATTACTGTCACTTTCATTAATAAGCATACTTCAACTGTTCAAATAGTATTTCATTTTCCTAATTCTGTAAATAAATAAAATTGTACATCAAAAATAATTATTTCATATTAAAGAAAAATATCTCAATTTTTAATAAAACAAATTTTGAACATTTACTGGCAAAAAGATATCCATTTAAAATATTCAGCTTTCCCTGAGCTACGACAAACTAAAAATTACGTAACATAATTTCTTGTGACTATCTTACCATAATCCACAAAATTTTTGCGACTATCTTGCTCCTTATTCTGATAATTAATGTGGATTTATGGTTGTTCTAATTTTTATGAGTTTTTTTTTTCATTCAATACAGTAGTATACCCGGTCTGAATTTTACTTGACGTGTTTGTTTCCTACGTACAACGTATTCAGATCATCCAAATATCCCCAGATTAATAACCAACAATGTTAACCATTATTGACCATGTTATAAATACGATGGTGTACCATGTATCACACTATCTCATAGCAAAAATTCCTCTCATAGATTATTTCAGAATAGATAATTTAATACTGCACTTTCACAATTAATTACAATAACAAATTTAAAAGTTAATAAGCTATATTACTTGTGTCATAAATTCAGAAGTCCCATTTTGCTTGGAACCAGAACAAAATATCAACTAAATATTCTCATACCAATTACAAACAAGACTAACTATTATTGACCATTTCAAGCATACGTCGTATTTAAATAATAGTTAAGTCAGATAAATAAACTTAATTTTAAAAAAATGTCATTCTCAATCAATCAGGAAAAGCTGGTAAATGCCAAAGTATTCTGATAAAAAAAGTGCTTTTTTATACCAAATTTAAGTTAATATACTTCCATTTCTCCGAAAAATACGAAAACTGTAAGTTTTATTTTAATTACAGCTAAACCAAACATTGGGCAATTTAGCTTTCCCGGTAACCTTCACGAAGGAATGCGGACAGCAGTAACTTGCATTGTAGTTGCCGGTGATCCACCAATTACAACAAGATGGCTAAAAGATGGTTTGCCTTTAATTGAAGAAGAGTTTGATGCTGACATATACTATGGTGGAAATGGGTTTGTGTCGACCTTGACACTAAATACGTTGGCGTTTAAACATAACGGTGAATATGCGTGCATGGCGACAAATGATGTTGGATCAGGATCATTTTCTACTCGACTGACAGTTAAAGGTATGTAAAACCTTAAATACTGATCTTTTTCGATTTTAAAATTTAGGAAATAAATTTAAGAAAACATTATTCCTGCAAAGGAACAAGGTCAAATGCTTCACTATAATAGTTTTTGCATTAAAATTAGAATACTTACGTTCAATGGAAATTTCAAAAAAAAAAAAAAAATTAATTTCGATAAACAAAATAATATTTCATCAAAAATAGACCAGAATAACTTTTTTAATTTTTATCCCTTTTCGATACTTATCTATTATTCCTCGACCATTATAACAAAACCTGAAAAAAATGAAAGTTTCAAATGAAGTGGTTCAAATTTAAATATTTCCTCATCCATTGCACGCAATAAGTAATATTTTTATTTTGCCTTGTTTTAAAGGCTGTAAAAATTAAATTTGAAGGTACCAAAATGACTTTATGAAGATTAAAAATTGGTCAAATCAACGTGTATGTCGGCGAAATGGTGCAGTGGTGTACACAGCTTTTGTACCGTGTGTTTAAAAGCTTTAGAAATTCAGTAATTCAAGTATCTAAATGTCAAAAAGTATATAACTCGTCATTTTTATTCAGTCAAGTTGAGATCGTTTTTAGCCCTGTTTGGCCTCATTCAAGCTTTATAGAAAATAAAATATGAGAATCTGATGTGAAATAAAAACTTATAAAACAGCTTGGAACATTTCCAAGTAAATCATCTTTGAAATCTCCTTTTAATGGCATTCAAAACTGAATTACAGCTATTTTAAGCGAAACTAAAAGACATATAAAAAATAATAATATTAATAAATTTGCTTGCTCATTTTTCAATGTTTCATTTATATTTAATTAGTCTGATTTAGTTTTATTTCCCTATAATCTTTAATTCATTCATATTAAATTTGAAAATTTTATTTTAGTGCCACCGAGATGGATTTTACAACCAAGAGACACATCAGCTATTGCTGGGCATTCAGCAAAAATTGATTGTCAAGCTGATGGCGTTCCTCAGCCTCATGTAAGATGGAAAGTAAACTCAAGTAAGAACTCTCATAAAAATTTCCATAATGTCTAAAATATAACAGTTTCGAAGTGATTATTGCAACCAATTTAAAACTCAATTATGCAATTATGTATTTAAGAATTACTTGATTTTGTAACATTTGTATACCGCAAACGTAGTTATAAAAGGTAACATAATTTTGGGAAATGGAGTTATATTATTTAAGTTAATCGAAAGAACGAATATTCCATGAATATACAGTCCCACTCTAAGGAAGAAAGTATGGTCGAAACTACCAGAATATGGTTAAATTTACCGCATGACAACACCAAAAAGCTCGTTGATTTTTACCGAAGAGCTTTGGTAATGATTTTGGTTCAATTTACCATAAAATATACTTTTATGTTGTGTGATATAATTTAGTAAATTTGGCAAAATTTAGTAATTCTATCCTGATTTCTTGGAGAATGACATAAAAACCAATCGGTTAAATTTACCTTTCAGTTATCTATTTTCGTATTATTATTTTAGAGGTTTGTAAAAAGGACTACAATTTTCAAACCCATAGTTTCTGGTTAATCATTAAAATATGAATGAAAAATTACTAAGTGAATTTTTTCATAAATTGCATTACTTTTAATTTCTCGACTAAAACTCTAAAATGTTTTTTTTTTTTCTCTATAGAACTGTCATTATTATACAGCACGATAATTTAATCAGAATTTCTTTCTCGTGGTAATGATTGTATAAAGATGAATCACCGAATTAGCTAACTTTAGAAACACTTGCTCAAACTAACTAATTGAAAAATAAATTTATTATTGAACAAATGTTTCTTGAATTTTATATTGAAACTAAATTAATTTATTTACCGAACAAAGATTTAATGCAAGTAATATACAATCTCAAAACTATCTTTCACAATACCATTTTTTGAGTTCCGTAGCATTTACAAATGTTTAAATGCGTTCAATAAAGGTTTACTGTAAGTTCATTTATGTTATTTATAAAGAAAAAGAAAATGAGTCTTTGGTTTCTTAGTTTCCTTTGCTTATTTTATTCAGTTATTACAAATTAGACATTTCGTTTCTTTTCAAAAAAGTTGATTAAACTAGTTTTTATTCAACTTTAATTACCATTTTAATAAGCTTTAAATTCAGAATATAAAATAGCAGCATATTTATTAGTTATTTTAGCATGAGGGAAAAATGATTTCTTTCAGAAAAGTAATCTTTTTTAGATGCCAAAGAATAATTTGAAAGGAATTAAAAGACGTAGACTAAAGACTTCAGACATAATACTCTTATGAATTTTAAGCCTAAGGGAAAGATAAGAATAAGAAATCAATAATATTCATTACTTCTAAGGCTAATGATCAGGTTTTGTTTGCTACAGCATTTTTACTCTCAACTGATGAAGAAAATGATGCTGAGCGTAATCATTTAAAGATTTTCTTATATGGTTTGGTAATGACAGTTTCTTTATTCGTGCCTTTGATAAATGAGTTTGGGAGATAATTTCAAATTTGTGAATGGTTTTAAGTTACTGAGCTGCAATAAAAAGATCAATTTTATGACGAAAACGCATAAAAATGCTTTATATTATTTTCGAGTTTGAAAGTTTTTTAGCTTTGTTCATTAAATATGCGTTAAATAAATGGCGTTGCTACTATATTGAACATCTTTATTTCATTCCTAGTCTTATTTTATCATTTATGTTTAGTTTAAAAATGATCGTTAAAATTGACAATGGCTTTCGAATATGAGTTAAAAGATTCAGTACTTTGAGAGAATTTATTGTCATATCTTTTATGTGGGCTTTAGAGAAATGTATTTTGTTTCAAACTTAAATTTCATCGCAATAAAATGTCATTGAATATTTACTTTCATACAGCAGCTATTGATAAAGTGTCATACAAGTGTGAATGCTATCTTTTGGACATTTTTTGACATGTTAAAGTTGTACTTTGCAAAACTTTACTTTTAAATTCGAATAAATGATTAAAAACTTTCGATTAAAAATTTGGAATACAGAAAAATTATTTTAGAAATTCTTAAATTATTTTCAAATGTAATCAGAAAAAAAACCCTGAGAATGAAAATATTTTGTCTCTTAAGGGGTCATACTTTATCCCTGAATAGGAAAAACATTTATGCTTAGCCTAGTGGGGATGGTTGTTTAAAACAAGATTTGTTGTCACCATTAAATCTTTTGTAAAAAGTATCTAAGTGAATAGTTTGTCAAAAAAATTATGAGATGTGGTACATTATGGTAAAATTCATGGAAATGGTAATGCAATAGTAACCCATGATCATTAGTGTCATGTTCGTCACTAGATAGTGCCAAACATCTTACTAGTGTAATAATATAGATAAATACTACCTGAGTGCTGCTGATAGTCATTCACCCACGCTCAGCTGATTCAGCAAAACTCGATTTAGTAATTACCATGAGCAACTCTCAGAGAGTCCTGCAATAGACCATGTAACTACTCAAGCTGCCATATTCGGTATGATTGACCATGCACCATAGATGTCACACTTTGATGCCAATTCACATTGATTTATGGTACAAACATAAATCTAAAAGTTTGTCTTAACATTTTTGACATGTCTTCAATAGGCATAGCCAATAAAATGTCTATCCCATTATTGATCTTAGGAATGATTTTCTTAGATATAAGCTGACCCAAAACCTGTAAAAATCTTTTCTTTTTATTAAAGTTAATAGATGTTCAATTAGTTTGTAATTTTGAAGTATTTAACAAATGCCAAACTACGAAATTTTACATTTATATCGCTTTATGTTATACCTTGCTAAGTGTAGATTGGAGTCCATTAGTTGAAGTATTTTTTTTAATCATTTAGATGCGTCTCCAGAAAATTTCAAGACAATTGTGAGCAGTTCTCATGTTCACATATTAGTTAATGGATCACTGAATTTCAGAAATGTTGAAAAATCTGATGAAGGATCTTATCTTTGTGAAGCTAATAATGGAGTTGGAACAGGTCTAAGCACAGTGGTCCGATTCACAGTTCATAGTAAGTAAAGGTAGTTTATATTAAAAGCAATTATTGCTATTGTTTATAAATTTATGTCCAGATTAAGCAGTAATGCCCCAACACCAAGTTTTTTTCAAACTATGGAATTCTAACTACAATTTCATCAGAATATTTAGTGTGGATGTTTTTTTACTCTCTTAGGTTATCCTTTACGTTAGAATTTATTAGATTTCCGTTATGGTTATATCCAAACTTTTTTCCCTTGGAAAAATATTAGCATTTTAGTGATGCAAATCAAAAAAAAATTGTGCGTGATAGTATTTTTAAACAATCAAAATTAATCTTTATTTTTATTTTAGGTTCACCCAAATTTGAAACAAAGTTCTCTACTTTAACAGTAAGAAGAGGTGAAAAGGTGAAATTAAACTGCATTTCTAGTGGTGACATCCCAATGACATTTACTTGGCGAAAAAATGGAGTTATAATTGATTTATTATCAAAACCAAGGTATGATAATAACTAGCATTTTTTAAATAAAGTAAAGTACTAGTTACATTGAAGCATAAAATACATAATATATTTATATTTAAAAAGAAGAAAAATGACATATCAAATCAATTTTTATCGAAACATTTTACTGAACAAAAAATCTAATATAATTTATCATAATTTCATCCATAATTTCTCAGTAATAATTACCATAAAATCACTGAATAACTTTAGCTAAATAATTATTACTATAAAAATTACGGAATAATATTTTACGATGAAAATTGATTTTAAAATGAATGAATTGAAAATGGATGGATGATGCTCCCTAATTGCCAGTTCTTCATACCGTAATTTGGTTCGAATTTTTTTTTTACAGTGTAATAATCCAAAACAAATAAGCCAGTTTTAGTAAGTCAACAAGTTTTATTAAGCATCGGTAATTATTTCTTTTAGTTTATTTTCGTATCTCGTGTATTACAAATGCAAAAGTTTCAGAAAGAAAAAATGCTTGCAAACTAAAAACTTATATTGAAATCATTAAAGTAATCCACAATCTCGCTTTCGCTTACGGAATATTTTACCTTCATCAGTCAACTCTAAAATTTGCGTAATAATTTACTTTTATCAGATTCTTTTATTTCCATGAGTGTCAAACGTAACGGTACATATTTGCGATTGATTTACATAGATGAAACCTAAGTTTACTTCCTTTCTCGTAGTATTTCCCTTTTATATCCAAAATTTCTGAATAATTCAATCTATGCTACTTTTCCCTTCTCGAACCTTATCAGGTACAGTCAGCAGTTGCAAAACATCAGGGGAGGAGAAAGTGTGGATTTGATTATCGAAAAAGCTGAAAGGGAGGACTCGGCATCCTTTACATGCACGGCAATGAATGACTTCGGAGAAGATTCCATGAATTTTCAATTAACCGTCCAAGGTAAACAGATTTTGAAATTCAATCTCGTCTCCCGTTGAAATTCCTGTGTCGATACGTCCGTTTTTTACTTTTTGATGTAACGCTTGGTGCGTCAAATGTAACAAGGTGTATACCCTTTAATCAGAGCCCCAGAAAAATTTTCGAATAAAATCGTTTCCTGAATTTATTCAAGGTTCAAGAACGTTTAAGTATACTGATTCGTTTATAAATAGTACATCTGAGTTTTGCGTTTTTTAAATTCAAAATATCTTCATTTATATATATATATATTAATTGCTTTTAAAATAAATCAAAGACTTATTCTTTTGAAACGAATATAAAATATTAATTCTTCTCTTATAGATCAATGTAACGGATACTTTTTATTTCATTACTAATGCAGACTTATTAATTCACTGTCGCCTCTAATCGAAAACAAAAATCTATTAATAACTTTTTAATTCTAAATTTTCTAACCGAAAATATGTTTCAGTTGCATGGTTGCAATAATTCTCATAAATTTATTGGCGACTCGTAATCGCCAAGGTATTCTTTTTTTTCTCTTTTTGTGGCACCTGTGAACCAAAGTCACGGAGGCGAGCAACACTGCCCACGCCACAAACCCGTTTATAGGGTGGGCCACATTCACACATCATACACACACACAACAGAGGACAGCACAAAGAGAGAGAGAGAGAAACATCCATGCCCAGAGCGGGATTCGAACCCGCAGCCTATGGCTTCGCAGTCAGGCACGCTAACCGCTCGGCCACCATGCCGTCGCCAAGGTATTCTTTCAAACCCAATATTGATATGATGGTTGGCTTTGTTTTGGCTATGTTATATTTTGATGATTCGCCAATTTTGGATCTCCTACCCATGCTTCTGTGTCTGTTGGGAACAAAATTACATGTACTTTTTAATTTGGCTTTAGTTTAGGCAGGTCGTGGGGGAATTGTCTCCCATGGCCTGTGCTTATTAATATTGGTATGCAAAACTTATTCAACTGAAATTCCTTTGAATAATATTTATATATTGTACCTCGAGCTCTGCAAATATATTAAATAAAAGCTTTTTATAAATTCTGATCCGGATTCAAGTATTATTTTCATCATCTCCTGATTTCAGCATCAATTTTCAACTAGTCCACTATGTCAATACAAACTCCACCCACACCTTAATAT